TATTAAAAACCTTGAATATATTCAGCCTTGATGATCAAAATCAGAATAGTGGTTGCATCTAGAAAGGTTACTGGCTGGGAAGGGGGCTAAAGGGAGTCATCTGAGAGGCTGGAAAGGTTCGACATCTTGATCTGGGTGGTGGTGACAAGAGTATATTTATGTAAAAATTCATTAATAGGTACACTTTAGGCCTGTGCACTTTACTGTGTGTTGATAAACATGTTTTAATTGGGAAATAAACATTTGAAACTTTGGAACCAACGATTCCACTGTAATGTTGTATCCCATGGTAATAAAGATGCCAATATTTAGTTCACTGTGTTATTTATAATGTTGAAAATTAGAAACCTCTAAAATATTGCTGGGAGAAATATCAATAATCTCAGATATGCAGATGACAACACCCTTATAGCAGAAAGCAAAGGGGAACTAAATAGCCTCTTGATGAAAGTGAAAGAGGAGAGTGAAAAAGCTGTCTTAAAAGTCAACATTCAAAAAACTAAGATCATGGCATCCGGTTCCATCACTTCATGGCAAACAGATGGGGAAACAATGGAAACAGTGACAGACTTTATTTTGGGGGGCTCCAAAATCACTGCAGATGGGGACTGCAGCCATGAAATTAAAAGATGCTTGCTCCTTGAAAGAAAAACTATGACCAACCTACACAGCATATTAAAAAGCAGAGACATTACTTTGCCAACAAAGGTCCATCTAGTCAAAGCTATGGTTTTCCCAGTAGTCATGTATGGATGTGAGAGTTGGACCATAAAGAAGGCTGAGTGCCAAAGAATTGATGTGTTTGAACTGTGGTGTTGGAGAAGACTCTTGAGAGTCCCTTGGGGTGCAAGATCAAACCAGTCAATCCTAAAGGAAATCAATCCTGAATAGTCATTGGAAGGACTGATGCTGAAGCTGAGGCTCCAATACTTTGGCCACATGATGTGAAGAACTGACTCACTTGAAAGACCCTGATGCTGGGAAAGACTGAAGGCAGGAGGAGAAGGGGACGACAGTGGATGGAATGGTTGGATGGCATCACCGACTCAATGGATATGAGTTTGAGTAAGCTCTGGGAATTGGTGATGGACAGGGAAGCCTGGCATGCTGCAGTCCATGGAGTTGCAGAGTTGGATACAACTGAGAGACTGAACTGAAAATATTCCATAGCAAGGAATGATAAATAAATGATGCTCCATCCATTTAAAATCATGTCATCAAACATTTCTTACTGGTACTGGAAAACACTAATGAGACAGTGTTTGGTAACTGATGCAGGTCACAGAATAGGAAGGAAACAATAACACAGTAAAGACAAGTACCAGCTTTGTCTCCTGGTGCTGTGGTGATTTTCCTGGTACCCAGAGAATTACCAGCTAATGATGGGAGCCAGTCGTGCTTTGCTGGCAAAATAACACCATCAACCATGGTTCTCCTCTGATTTATCTGTTTTCAGTGCAGGCACTGGGTTCTAGACATTGACCTGTGGTAGTCTGGGTGGACACAACTCTGGTGTCAATTAGAGATGTTTGGATTCTTTCAGGTTCTCCTTTATTCTGAAGCTCCTTTCTTATCCTTGGTCAACTCATGTCTGGAGCTGAGAGGTAGATGGTGGTAACCACAATGGAGAGGGAATGGTTAGGATGTAAATATGTATGTGTGTGCATGCGTGTCTGTGCATTTGTGAATACTGGTGTTGCCACTATTCCAAATATGCATGGATGCATATATGTGTATGTACACATGTAGACATGATCTCTCTAGTCTATATCCCCAAATTTGGAATCATGAAGGTACTATGGTAATTTAGCCAGTCAAACTGATCATCAAAATAAGAAAGTGATGGAGTGCTATGGCTATTCCCAGAGTGAACGAGTTAGAGGCAGGGTGCCATCTGGCATTTTTCTAGTGGTCTGAAGGCTTTTGGAGAGCACGATCATCATTGGTTTGAAGGAGAAGAGAGAAGCAGGCTGAAGCCCCACTGGCAAGTGTCTCCTCATGCTCCTCAGTTTGCAACCCAGGGCAACATTCTATGCTTGATTAAGCTTGCAATGAAAAGGATTTATTTTAAGCCATTTTAATAATTTCTTTTTTATCAGAAGCTAACCAAGCAGTTTTATAGTAGCCTTCATTAGCATGAAAGACCTATTCCTTCATCTAGGCGGCTTGCCTATTGGTAAATTTTACTATGAGCTGATGTATGTAGAAAACACACAAGTGTTTTGACAGGAAGAAAATCAGAATAGAGCCCATGAAAAATCGCCTCTTGCTTTTTAGTTGTCCGGCTCATTCTGAGTTAAAATAAACTTTCTTTTGGAGGAAAGGGGGTCTCTGTGCCAGGCTCAGCTGAAATGTGTTGTGGTTTTTTTTTTTTTTCTGATTTCCCATTCTAGTCCCTCCACTTTCTGCCAGGTCCTCTGAGCAAACAAGCCCAGCATCTCTGGGGAGAAGACTGCTACTACTCTCTGAGCTGCCGCAGCTGCTGCTATTGTCACTGCTACTGGTCTCCAAGTCATTTTTAACTTGACTGAGAGCCTGCTGTGTTCCAAGTCCCATACGGTACCCGGAGAGACAGTGTGAAGGAAATACACAGTACGCTGTTCTTTGAAATAGCCAGCTTCTCTAGTATTTTGTAAAACAGTGTTCCATTTTCGCGCCAGATTCAGGAATACAGATGGTGCTTAAAGCAAGGCTCCCTCCCCCATTAAGGGCACCTCCCGAGTTTCTGGCTTTGATTATAAAGGTCAAATTACACATGCCTTCTGTGTCAACTCACAGGTAATGTGCTTCTCTCTCAAGTGAAAAAGACAGCATTCAATCCATTGTAACCAGCATAGTAACAAGTTTCTGTTTGGCTTCTTTAGGGCCCTCTAGCTGTATGATTGCTATTGGGGAACCCAGATCCCGGAAGAAGGTGTAAAGCTGTCTTTTCCCGCCTGTATAAAAACCTCTTCGAGGCTACCTTCACAGCAACAAAATCAGTTAATTATGAAGTACTCCTGAGAAATCAGTGCTGGTTGCAGGAGTTCTTTCCATTAAATCTGTGGATATTTAGACTGGGGGAAGGAAGAGACGAATAAACAGAACTGGAGACAAACATGGCAGAATGTATATATGGGGTTTCTCTCTGACTTTGTGGGGCTCTTGAAGACTCTGACACATAAGCCAAACATGCTTAAGACACACACCTCTACAATCGTGGGCATCCTATCTCTATCTAGGACATGAATCACAGATTTTGAAAACGCATCTATAGCGTAGAGCTGCTAATAATACCTGACACAGCCTTCAGCCTGGCCCCTGGGGTGCCCAAGTTCTTGACAAAGGGCTCCCTTTTCAACCTTCAGGAAGTGTCTCTTCTTCCTTGGGAAGATGGGAAAGGACAAGGGCCTTTGGTTCCATTTCCTGGGTAAGGAAAGAAAGTAGATTAGCAAGCCAGAGTTGGAAAGAAACAGGTATTCTTCTTCATCCCATCAACTCTCAGGAGAGTTTTATACTTGATCTGGGTGTGTTTTGAGGGTACACATGGAGAGAGGGTTGTAGCAGGCATCAGGGGGCGGTGGTCGGAAGGAGGCCTGGCAAGCAGAGCCCGGGAGCTCTCACTGGGGCAGAGTGAATGCCTTCAAACCGTTGATTCACCCACTGCTCTCCCCTCCGTCACCTTCCACCTCCCTAGGCCACCAGGCAGATGTCTCAAGCCACACCAAGGAGACCTCCTCTTGTTCTGCCATTTGGGAGACATCAGAACCATCCTCTGGGCCAACAACAGAGTGATTCCAGCCCAAGAGCCTGGTGGGGTCCGGAAGGACAGGCTGGGGGAGGACCTGGTTGTTCTCCAAGAACAGGGACCTTCCTACTGCGTCCCCAGTTTTCCCTCGGCAATCCACAGAGGGTCTGTCAGCCATGACTTTCTCACTCTTGGCGAAGCTACTTGTGTTTTCATCCTGTTGCACCTTTCTGGGCTAATGAATTCTTCAGGTTTTCAACGTGCTATACACAATAGCATTTCTCTACTAGCTGTCTTAGCAGGAAGAGCACTGACCTGGGAGTCCAACCAACCTAGGTCCACATTCCACCTCTGTCACTGACTAGCTGAGTGAATACAGGAATTTTTCATCCCTTCTCTGAGACTCAGTTTTTCCATCTGTAAAATGGAGCTATTGATACCTCCTCTTCCTGGCTTGCATGGCTGCTGTGATGAGAAAATGAGATCGTTGACCTAAAAGAACCTTGAACAAAAGCACAAATTCAGGTGCTGATGCAGAGTCATATTTGCTTTTGCTTAATCTACATCTAGCTTTGAAGGGGGCTATTGGTTCTAGAATTCTCAGATTTGGTGAATAAGGCTGTGATCCCTTGCTCCATCTCTGCATAATTTTATACACTCTAGTCACATCCCTTCCCAGCCTTTATCTTTCTAGACTGAGGAGTCTGCATTTGTTTAATCTATCTTCATATGGCAACCCCCTCTACCCTCCCCCATCCCCTTGATTATAGAGTGGCCCTTCTCTGGATCATCTCCAGCTCCATTATGTCATTCTGGAAGCACTAAGACCAAACCTGCACAAATGTGCGTGCGTGCGTGTGTGTGTGTGTGTGTGTGTGTGTGTGTGTGTGTGTTCTCAGCTCTGAACCTCTTACTCTGCCCCCTCCCCAACTGTAAATCCTAGAACAGGATGCTAGCCCAAGACCCTCTCTCCAAAGTACAGAGAAGGCCACTCGGCCCCAGGCTGTAGCCTCCCCCTCTTTCTCTACGCAGTCCCGGCCCCAAGGGGCTAAAACGGCTCCCTGTCTGGCTTGGGAGGCTGGGAGGTGGATAACTAGGATGGGGGGGGCGAGGGGGAGGGAGGAGAGGGGTCTTGCGCAAGCGCACGTCGCTGCCCGGACCGCCAATGCTGCTGCCTCCCGGAGCAGAGGGAGGCAGGAGAGGAGGGAGGGAGAAGAGGGGAAGGGAGGGGGAGGAGGCACTTGGGCTGCAGCTTGCAACCGAGGCAGTCTCTTCTCAGCTCTCCGGAGGGACGGGGAGCGGCAGCCGCGGAGTAGGATGCTCTGCGGGGCGCCCTGAGCCGGGGGCGCCTGAAGCAGCTTCGGGGGCCGGGGCCACAGGGCAGTTCTCACCATGCATCAGTCCCTGACTCAGCAGCGGTCCAGCGACATGTCCCTGCCGGATTCCATGGGTAAGTCTAGCAGCCCTGCCTCGGGGCGGCGGCGGCCAGGAGTGAGTACGCTGCCCCCTGGACCGCGAGCGCCCGGGCCGCCCCGGGGAGCCAGGGGGCGGGAAGCGGGGCGAGGGAGGGGGGTCCGCGCGCCCCAGCATCGGGGTCGCGGACCCGAGCCCCAGGGGAGCGGCGCGGCGGGGGCGGGGGCGACGCGCGGAGCTGCGAGCGCCCAGCTTGCGTCGGAGTATCCCTTACCGGAGTGCGGGTGTGCGCGTGTTTGTGTGCGTGTGCCGACAGACTTGCAGCCGGCGGTAAATCTCAGCTGTCTGGGGGATCAAAACACTTCCCTGCAACCTGCGCCTTCGCTTCTCATTCGACGCTCCCTCTTTGCAAAGTCCCCGTCACTTCTAAGAGCTCACCACTAAAGATAATTAGAAGAAACAGGGTCCTCGCCCCCTCCCAACTCAGTCGAAGCTGCCCTGAAATTCAGAGCTGCAGTGGGGGGAAGCCTGACTTGCACCTCGCTGATGGGGGGGTTTGCGCAACCCTGGGGGATGGGCGGCAGGAGGGGGGTAAGAAGAAACGGGGCGGGGGGCTGGCAGGAGGGGAATTCCTTAGGAATCTCTCAAGACAGCACAGCTCGGCTGTCTGCAGCGTTAGGATCAACATTCCTTGAATTTGATTCCTATTTTGTCCTAGTGCACGGAGTGTGCGTTGTTTGTAAAAAAAAAAAAGGGGGGGGGGAGAACGAGTGAAAGCGCAAGAAAGAGCGAGCGCGAGCCCGCGCATCTTCTGAAGTCGCGCTTTTCGTCTCCGGGTGGAAGGGAGGGGGAGGGGGGGGATCCACTAGCCTGATTTTGTTCAACACCTTTCCTCATGAAAAGTGGGGGACAGCTGCCTCCAGGCATAAACTTGGCTGCTCCTCGAAGCCGCTTTTAGGTAGTTACAAACAAACAAAACCCCCCGTCCCCCCTCAGCTGTTAGGCACCTACCCAAGCCCTATGATTTCACTGGGCGGAGAAATTAATTTGGAGCCCAGGAGAGCGGGAGGGGATCGTCAAGCCACGATTCCACCTAATCTTCACATTCGCCTCGGATACATTTGAACCACATCGAATCCCCACTTTCCAACATACTTTACATTCTGCAAAATCCCTCTGTCCCGAATTCTGGCCATCCAGCCTGCTCAGGTCTTCTCCAAAGAATTTGCGGGAACATCGAGGGGAGGGGGCAGGGAGAGGATTGAACTCTCTACGTAAGCTCCCTACTGCCTGCAAAAGACTCCGTCTCTACAGAATTCGTTCACCCGAGGGGCCCCAGATCTCTCGGATGGTGGAAAGATCCGTTTTTAAAATGGTTTTGCCTATTCAGTACAAGAATTTGCTTTTTTAAAAAATTATTTTTAAGGGTGTAGTTATTTGCAACGTGGTACAAATAAGGCCAAGGACTCGGATCCGAATCCAGAACACAGCAGTACCAGATTCTCCCCACTCCCCAGGTCTCTCTACCCCTGCCCCCCGCCACCCTCAACGCGCGCGCGTGCGCGCGCGCGTACACACACACACACACACACACACACACAAGCGCACACGCACACAGAATGCACTCCTCACCTTGGCCAGCTGTGGCGCCAACGCAGCCCTGGCTCCTCGACGCCTGGCTGATGCGCGGGCGAGGGCTGGATGGCAGAGTGTGAGGTTCCGGCTGCGCGCATTCCCGCAGCGGCCACAACCACCTGCAAAGCCGGCCGCCCGTGCCAGCCCCTCTGCCAGTGTGGGAGTGGGCAGGTTAGGGACCCCAGGTTAGAGAGTTGCTCTTGGGCACCCTGTTGGGCAACCGGGATGAAGAGAGTTCTTTCTTGGGCTCCCCAGGGGCCCTCAGCCAATCAGGCGTTTCCCGAAAGATCTGCGCAACAAGATGAGTGGGCTTCGCCCAGTCCAGACTCGACACTGCGGGAAAAAGAATCACAGATCCCATATGGACGTGTGAGCCAGCTCCACGCAGCCCGCTTCATAAAGTGCGCAGACCCAAGGCAGAGCAAATTCCCGAGTCGAGCGGTACCCTGGGTTTCCAGAGTTTGGACAGGGGAGTCTCCCCGGAGTTCCCTGGCGTAGGTCCCGCAGAGCCCAGGCCTGAATCAGCGTCTGGGCTACTTCGGAGCTGCTCCCACTTACCTCAGCCCTGGCAATGCCACCTTCCCTTGCATGGGGGAGGGGAAGTGGAGGTGGGTGGGTTAGTGTTTCAGCCTCGAAGGGCAGCATTTCTGAGGGAATTCCCTCTACACGCAGGACACAATCTCAGCCAAAACAATAAAATAGAAAACACACAGACACACTGCACCAAGGTGCCTGCACTCTACGTTTGCCGGCTGCCTGGGAAAGAGCGATGAGTCCGTGACCTGGGCGGAGCAGGCGCTTGGACGGTAATTTGATTCCGGCGCCCCTTCATCCCACTCTGGCAACCCCCATCTCCCTTTTGGCAACACCGCCCCCAGGCGCTAAAGCACCTCTACTACAGCGGGGCTCTCCTTCCCTTGCAAATAACACATTTGTAATTCACCGGTGGACTTGGAGGTCTCTGGTCCAAGTATTGCCTGAAGCGGGGATTTCAGCACCTTTAACGAAACGTTTGGGAGATATGAAACGTTTGGGAGATTGGCAGAGCCTTGAGGCTCTTGCGTGGGCAGCCACATGTTTCCACGGATGCTCAAGGCTGGACTTCCTGACACCCACCCTGTATGGTCCAGCTGACTCAGGTAAGCAAATCCTAGTGGGTTCAAAGGTCAGCGCGAAGGATTAGCCAGTCAGCAACAACCTAGTGCCCAGGACAGAATTATGGGCCTCAGTCCTTGCTGCACTCTGATAGAGACTGCATCCTCTGTCATCAAGGTGGGAATTGAGAACATGTACAAGGTTAAAAAAAAAAGTGAGCAGACACCATCCATCCTACCTTCTGACAACCCACACCTTGGTTCCTGTCAGATATATAAACCTGGGACTGGTGGATATCTTATGGGTTGTGGACCAGACACACAATTACAGCATAACTGTAGCAGTTATAGTGAATAGACTTCCTGAGTGAGGTAGCTAGGAACTCAGGGACATGAAATAATGAGTGATTAGAGGAGAGCAAGCTTGATCAAGGAGAACTTCTTGGAGGAGGTGAATTTTGAGCAGGTCTAAGAGGAAGGGAGGGACCCGGATTCAATGACCGCAGTGCAGGTGGGGGCTCTGACCAGGGAGGGGCCTGGGAGGAGGGAGAAGCTGGCTGTATTTGGAAGGGTGGAGATGGCAAATAATTGGGCCCTTCTCAAGAGCAGAGCATCTTGGCCGTCATGAATCTGGGCTGGAGGTGGGGCACTGCAGAGAGGGAGGGCTGCAGTGGTTCTGCAGGGAGGCTGCTGGGGGCGGAGGGGGGGCAGGCACTGCCAATGACGGGACTCAGACTCTCCCACTGCTGGTGGTTGCAGGGGTGGTTGTTGTCTAAACAAGATACTGGGCACCACATAGACAGGCTACTGGGAGCCAATGGAATTGTCCCACTGGTTGGGCAGAAGGTTTTTTGTGCTGGGGAGCCCTCAGATGTACCGTATTTTAAAAAAACAATTCTATGAGTGTCGCCTATGTTTATTCACACACCCCACCCCCCAGCCTTCTTGATTAGAAAGGAAGCGATTCTGAGATGTGGCCTCTTGTTTATTCAACAAGTATTGACTGCTCACTAGGTATCAGACACTGGTGGGCGCTGTTTTCACATACCTGCGGCTGTACTGAAGTACCTCATGGTGTTTGAGGGTTTGTTTGTTTGTTGTGTTTTTTTTTGATGCACTGATTTAAAATCAGAATAAGATGTCCCTGTGTATATGGGAACATCTAAGGCCGGCCCCACATTGTACCCTAAGAAGAACAGAACTCTGCTTCTCCATTCTTCAATAAAACAACAGCCAGGAAAATGTCCTAAGGAGACACAAAGAGCTGCTTTTGGGAGCCTGGACCACACCATCAGAGAACAGGTGTGTCTGGCTCGAGATAGATGTGACTTTTCAGTCAAATTGCCTCTAAAGATAAATGGAAGGGTGCTTCTTCACTTTTCAAAAGGATTCACCCTGGGGTTCCTTAAAATGGTCAGCTCCCTAAGTTCAGCTAGAGATAATTTCATTCTATACAATTTTAATCCTTATAGTATAAAACAGGGGGTGACTTGGGGGAGGGTGTGAGGGGCCAGAGGGTAGATATTCAACCTAGTGATGGGAGAGTTTTCTTAGGAATTTGATCCAAAGCTAATCCTATCTTGGGGTCAGGCCCCTGTGGAGCTCCAGGATCTCTGCCTGGGTTTCTCAACTGACTGGTTTTCAATTCAGGTTCTAAAGCAGTAGGAAAAAAAAAAAAACAAAACAGATTTTCAAATGACACCATGTGGTTTGCTGAGTCACTTTTCTGACCTGGCTCCTGTGCTTTTAAGAGTTAGAGTGATATTTGCTAAGGAGACCCAAGAGCTGTGAATAAAATCAAAAGCCAGTTGGCCAGGAAGGAGCCAGGCAAGTGATATAGCTCCAAATTTAGAAAGACTAAGACTGTATACACACACTCCCCTACCCCTAGACTCTAAGGTGAAGTGTTTTCCCTGTGAGGTGTTGAGACACTTTCGTGTGTCACAAAGATACCTTTGTTGTGTCCAGCTGTTTCTTCACTCTCTTTGGCTAGCCTGGGGTCTGGGAGGGTCAGATGGTGTAGAAATGCAGACAGGGATGGGAGGCCATGTTGGTAAGTTTATTTTGTGTGCTTGCACACTCAATCGTGTCTGACTCTTTAGGACCCCACCAGGCTCCTCTGTCCATGGAATTTACCAGGTAAGAATACTGGAGTGGGTTGCCATTTCCTTCTCCAGGGGATCTTCCCGACCCAGGGATGGAACCAGCTTCTCTTTACCAGGAAAGTCTATGTTAGAGCCCCTCTGTGGAGCCAACTAGCAGATTCACTGAGAAGCTGTCATCAAATGGATGTGGAGACACTGGTTTAGAGACGCGTTTAAGGTCCCTGCAATCCAGAGGAAGGGTAACACCTTCAGATAAACAGGAGAAATCAATCCTGCTCCCCCATCCCCAACCCTTCGCAGTCCAAGCCTCCCTGCTCAGCTCCTCTGATTACCAGCAGTCAGCTCCCCATTTGCAGCCCAAAGAGCCCTCTCACACGTAGGGCCCTAATAACACAGGTGTCTCCAGCTCTCCTGAGGTTTTCCCCTGGAGGCGGGACTCAGCGCACACCCCCCAGAGGAGCCCCCTTTCCCAACTCACTTTACCTCTCCTCCCAGGGTGCGACATGACGCTTTCGTCTGTGAGTTCCTCTAAACACTCAGGCCACTTCTACATTTCGATGTAAAATGGTCTTAGAATAGGACCATATTAGAAATGACCCTGATGAGTCACGTCCCTCACTTTCGAGGCTGACGTCAAGGGAGAGACCGCCAGCCCCTCCCATCTCCCTTGGAGCCTGAGGCAAGGACCGCACTAGGGGAGACGAGATGGCTGGTGGGGCTCACCCAGGGTGGCTCTTCTTCCCTCAGGGGAGGGGGCATCTGCTGGGGGCTGCAGGGCCAGCCACAGCCCCTCCCTCTCAGCACCGCCAGGCCTCCTGGGTCTCACTGGCTTTCTCGTTCCCCACCCTCCCCCTCGCTTCCTTCATCCCCCCTCCCTCCCTCCCAGTGGTGCAGTCTGAGCTTCAATGGCAGCCGCTTCCCCGAGGCTGCAGCGAGGCCTCCCAGAGTGACGGGGTCCTAGGAACAGTCCCAAGTGGCCTCTTCAGGCCCATAAATGACAGCCAAGCCACCTGGGTGGGCGACCCCGTCATAACACTCCTTTCTAGAGAACTGGACTCTCAGAACTAGTCCCCCAGTTGCTTATTTTTATGAGAACTCCTAGGTGGTACCTCATCCCTCCTATTTCCTGTTGAGAACCCCCTCGAACGAGGAGTGTTGACAGTGCTCTATTCCTTTAAAAATATTAAATTGAAAAGCGAGTCTAGATACCATTTTTCTATCTGACTTCATAAGCCTGTTTTCGAAAAAAAAAAATACTGGTTTGCGCTATCATGTCTGATAAGTACTGAGTAGGAGAACTGGTCTCTCATCATTCCTATTTATGTCACCCTCACATAAGCCTAAACAATGTAAGCTATAATCCTCCCCATCTACTTCCCCTGATACAGATCTTTGGGGACTAATGGCCTCCAAACATTTACTTTATTACACACATTTGTTTTGTGGCAAATCTTGCCAACACACCATTTTAAAGTTTATACATGAGGTGGCAAATGTCAGAAATAAATGAAAAAAAAAAAAATCCCAGTACCTGGCTTGGTTCTGGTATTTACACTGAAAATGAAATTTCATATCTCCAGCTTATGAGAAAACCCTTCTTAGTTGCATATTGGTTTTAAAATATTGTCATTTAATATCTTCACAGTATGCTTTTCATTTATCATACACCTTGTAATTTGGCTTAAAAATACACTCCACTAAGTGGGTATGACACATCTTTTATCAGATGCAAAAAGCACAAAAATGTGTTCAGTTTTGTTTTTATGTAACTGGTACAGTTCCTTCTACTGTTTATTTTCAAACCGGAAGTGTATATATTTTACTGTAAACGTAACCCCTGACAACTGCACAAACCTAAAGCTCCATCTCTTCTCCATCATCCCATCATCCCACTCCCCAGAGATCACCCCAGTTACCAGTTGGAGTAGGGAAGGAACACCTTCCTAGCGATTGTTTTCTTTAAGTCCGTCCCTTCTGCGGCCGAAATGGGCAATTTCAGTTTCTCTGTGTGCTTTCAGGAGCCTTCAATCGGAGGAAACGAAACTCCATCTATGTCACCGTGACTTTGCTCATTGTGTCCGTGTTAATTCTCACGGTGGGCCTCGCTGCAACCACCAGGACCCAGAATGTGACTGTTGGAGGTTATTACCCGGGAGTTATTGTAAGTATCAGAGGCATAGGTAGGTCTCAGCAGCTTGCTAGCTAGAGACGTTTGGTTCTACTCTGATGGCTTTCAATTCTGAGTTTCTGTGTTTGCTCAGTTTTCCTCCTTTATGTATCTCTGTTCATATAGAGAGACAACTCGGGCCTATTTAGAAGGGCACTGGACTGAGAAGAACCCTAGCTCCATGCCTAACTAGCAGTGTGATCCCGAGCAAGTCCCCTCACTCTTTGGACCTCAGTTTTCTCATCTAGGAGATGTTAGTAGTTAGCAGTGTTAACCTTAGGCTGAGGTTCTTTCTGGATGTCTGCTTTCCTATACATAACAGAGGTCACCCAACCTTACTTGAACTCTGAGGACCCTTGCAGCTTGATAGTCTTATGACCCACAGCACACTGATCTCCAAAGTCATCCTGCCGTCCTCTCAGGAAAGATATGTGGAATATCCACTCCTAAAATACGTGTACGTATTCACTTACAAATTATATACATGTTCATAAACCTATTAAAATGGAAATTCAAAAATTAGATAAAAGTGAATGCAGTTTTAATTTTTAATGTCTTCATACTAACACTAAAATTTCAAGGCATGGTACACACTTCGTATGAAGTCTCATTAAAGTTAGTGGCTATAAATCCTTATTTCAAGTACCCTACTAGATAATTTTGAATATGTGGGACTTTCTTCTCAGATATGATTGTCATTGGCATCATTGTGTTTTGAATGTACTCTCACAGGGTGGCAAAGAGCTTACCCTGAGAGTTCCTGTCATTTTTCTCACTGTGTTACTTTATTAGGGTCATCTTCTTTGTAGTTTATCAACAGGAGTCTTTGCTCACCCCTTGTCCGTTTTGTTGCGACTAGTTAAGACTAGATAAGACTATCCGGGCACACATAATCTGCCCCACCACCAGTCCCCGCTGCTTTCAGACTGCTCTCCTCCCAAGGGATAGCTGCCTTGTCACCTGACGTTCACACCGAGGGAGGGCGCTAGTGACAGTCCGTGTGTTGAATAATTGTAATGCGCAATTTCCTATTCTTTCAGATAAACAAAAAATAGGAAACAAGAGTTTGAATAATTTCTTTCCCTACTTGAGTGGATTGTTTTACCCATCCTCAGGCTGCATGCAATCCATTCTGGAAAGCGGTGAACTCTGCATACAAAACCTCATTTGATACTAAATCATCACATTATATATGAAATGAAATATATACCATTGTGTCAATTATACCTCAGTTGAATTGAGGCAAAAGAAAAACAAACAAAAATCTCATTTGGATGTACACATGCTACTACTGACCCTCAAAACTTAATTGAATATCAATTGAATGACTTCCCAATTGTAACTGCTAGAGGGCGGGAAGGAAGTTAGTTAGGATGGGATTTTGTTGTTATTGTTGTTGTTGTTACATTTTAGGTTATCAGAGAGGACAGAGGAATTTGTTGTTTTTTTGTCTGTCTTCTTTTTTACTCTCTTTTTTTTTTTTTGAGTGTGGGGGTTGGAGAGAGAAGCAAAGGAAAGGGAAGGGATTAAAGATGGATGCCTTTGACAAGCCAGCACTGTGAGTGACCAAGCCTGACGCCTGTTGCCTAGGTCACCGATTCCACAGTCAGCCTCCTCAATAGCCCTGGACTCCGGCACCCAGCTGCTGAAGGCCGCCCACCCCACTGGGGGAGTTCCTTCTTGGGCCCACAGGGCTCCCCTCAGCCAAGGGCAGGTGTCCCACAAACAGCGTTTGGTGCCCTCTGCTAAGCATGTGATGTGAGAATTCACCCGGTCCACTTCCTGTGGTGAGGCAAGAAAACCAGTCGTCAGCAGAATTGGGTTTTATTTTTAAACACATGAAGGAGGGGGGAATGGAGGGAGGGGGGGTAAGATTGCATTTTGGTGTCTTGGGAAAGCAATTTATAGGGTCTGTGTGACTTTGTGGGCTTCAGGTAACTGCATTTAGTAAGAGATTTCTGACTGCTGAGCACATGCTCAAGCCAAGATTCAGACTCCCCCTGGGTGAGGGGAAGGTATTTTCCATGTCATTTAAGAGTAGCAGCTGCTATTCATGAACGGTGGCTCTGAACCTTCTCTGTAGAATATCTGCCTGTGGGTGGCTGGGTTGGAATACATTAACAAAGGAAGGAGGGCTTGTGATTGTTGTTATTGGAGTACCTGATGTTCAGTTAGCACTGGAAGTTGAAGCAGTGGGAGAGTATCTGTGTGTGTGTGTCTCAGTGAGAGCTGATATGGAAATGTTAATCAGAGAGCTGGCCTTATGGTTTAACCTTAAAATTTTTGCTTTTATAGTTCCTGTAGATTGTTTCTTTAAAATAGGTTTTAATTATAGAAAGTGAAGGGGGGAAGATTGCAGGGTGAACAGCCGAAAAATCCATTTGAGGTGATAGGTCAGATCATGTTATAACAGATACAATAATGACTCATACCTCTGAAAAAATAAATGCCTGAGAATCTAGATTTATTTGGGACCTGGGTGCTTTCACTAATTGAATAGTTTGGTTATTAGAGAGTTATGTATAGACTCTAATCCAGTGGTTTCCCTACCTTGGCGTGTATTTTAATAGACACCCGGGGGAAGTCTTAATTCAGGTGGATCTGCAGCCACTTGAAGAACTAAAACACAATAAATAAACTATGCTTAGCAATAAAACCAGAATGAGCCAAATGTGGCATCTTTAGATTCCACACTATCAAGTTGGCCAGTCCGAATATAAATAACTATTATATAGATTTTGGGAAAAAGTGTCAGGTTATTCGGAACTCTGCTATTTTAGGACTCTGGTTAAATGCGTATGTGAGAATGTAAAATTTTAAAACAGACCAATTAGGGAGCAGTTATTAGATTAAATGATGACTTACCATACACTTCATTTAAAAATATTGAGATCTCAGGCATTGAAAAATCTAATCGTATTTATTAAACTCTAAGTCACATGACACTTTTCTGTGGCATCTTTATTTTACCAAATGAGATGCCCTTCGACAATGAGGTGCATTCTGATATGGTGTTAACTCCTGTACCTGAACCAGAATGTGGGGTCATCTTAAGACAAGTGTGCAACAGACATCTTTAAATATGTGCTCATCTCTACAGGCTGAACTGTATCATCTTAAAAAAATTAAAACCAACCCAGAAAGACAAACTGGCTTAGGATTTTTACTGTCCTCAAACATTCAAGACATAGTCTATTCTAGAAGAGTTCCAGTGAACTTTCTGCCCAGGAGGACTAAAAAAAAAAGATAATAATGAAATAAAACAAGAGCCTCGGTTGTATGAAGCTGGAAAAGACAAGGGAGAAAGCCCACTCCTTCTCTATAGCTCTAACCTTAGATCCAGGAGAACGAGGCCTCCAAATGTGTTTCCCATGCAACCCACAAGATGGAGTTGGCCACTTGATCAGTGCTAAAAGTCTTACATGCCAACATCTTCTCCCCTACCTGTTGTACTGCTAGGGCCCACATCCACCTGGGTTTTCTTTCAGGAAAGAAACCAGGAGTTTCTGTCCTCTTTTACAGGCAGGGGAAGGGGAGGCTCAGCTAACTGAAAATTATATCAGAGTTGCCATGGGCGAGTAGGAGGCGGAGGCATGTGGCTTCAGCTTCACATGTGAATACTCTTGAAATCCAACCAAATTTTGACTAACTGGAATGCTCAGGAAACATAAGGAGCTCTAAACAGTGGGATTTTGTGGTTTTGCAGTCACAAAATAGTTTTGTAGTCACCGTACTAAACAGTGGTTTATTGTGAATGAGGCAGAAATTTTTTCTACCTCTTGTTTGAAACTGTTTCTAAAATATAAGATCATTCTAAGATAAAGTTCCTTGCTTACTAAATAAGTTTCAAAGATGATTCTTGAGTCTTGATTTGCTTGATAAGACTAACCCTCCACTAGCTTCCTGTTGCCTCCTTAGCATTGTCATTCAAAACTCTCTGAAGATGCCCTCAGCCTGGTCTCCCACACCTTTCTTTTGCCAAAATTGTCCATTCACAGTCCTCTGAACATTACCTGGGCTGGGACGTCCTCCCAGTGCTCTCTCTCTCTCTCTGTTTATCCAAATGTTCTTTTCTATCCCATCTTAAAGACAGCTGGGACATTTCTCAGATACTGGGATCCACAGTTGTGTCTACCATCTTTGAACTCCCTACCTTGGATTCTTTCTACTCATAATTGTTGGAAAATAGTCACATTCTGTTCTGTGGGATGTTTGGCTATATTCTCATTTAGCTTTGTTTATACACATCAACAATCCCTTATCTAAACCCTTGGGCCAGCTGTGTTTGCAAATTTAGTTTTTTAAAAATATTTTAGAAAGATAATACAGTGCATCTATCATATATTGGGTTGGCTGAAAAGTTCATTTGGGTTTTCCATAAGCTTCAGAAAAACCTGAATGAACTTTTTGGCCAACCCAATATTATCTAACATCCCATTGGAGTCTTGAAATATACCCAGTAATCAAGCATCTTCATCTTTCTACAGTAAACTGTGAATTTTTACACTAAGTAGATAAACATTATAAAATAACCTCACAGCAGTTTGAGTCCAGGTTTTGCCACCAAGTTAGTTACAAAAAAGCCTTTTGGTTTTAAGAGCTTTGTTGATTTCAGGATTACAGAGTAGGACTGTAGACCCATTACCTAATTATAGTTCCTTGAGGCTATCTCTTTGGTCTTGGTATGGTATCCCACCTCATTTCCTGGCCTCCAAATCACAGGTCTAGCACTGAGCCTGCCAGAGTAGCTGTCCAATGAAAACTTATCAAATGATTAATCCTTTTAAGCTTCATCCCCAGGGAATAGGCATGGGTGCAGTCTAAAAAGAGCCCTGGAATCTGATTTCTAATGATTTGTCTTTTTCCCCCTACAATTGGAGAGCAGCCAAAACAAAGCTGGTTATTTGTTCAGGTAATGGGGAGTCAGGATGGAGGTCCAAAGGTCTGAACATTCCGCGATTCAGTGCAGTTCTCTAGGGAGGACCAGAGAGCTTACCTCTCTGAGGCCTCTGGGGAGCAAACAGTTGATTAGAGGCCACTGCCTATTTGCAGGAAATTCTGTTGAATTTTTTCCTCCTTTGCTTTCACCACCTCAGCTCTTCCTCAAATAGGATCTCTCACTCCCTCCTTGCAGGGAGCCTCTTCCCTGAGGAGAGTGGGCAGTGTGGTAAAGGTTACTGCTCTGCTCACAGTGGCCACAAATGCAGCGAAGTGTGGCTGGAAGACTACCAGCTGTTAGTCAGGGGATCTGAGGGCTACTCCTGGTTCTGCCTGAACTTGCTGTGAGAGGGGACAAGCCCAGACAATTCTCTTAGGCCTCCATTTTGCTGTCTAGCAAATGGGACTCATAGGAGCTCCACCGAACTCCATAACATGACCCTGATCAACATGGAGGGCAAATGCTTCTTTAAATTCAAATGCTTTTCATATGTAAAGTCGGTTTAGCGGCTCTGGTTAGTGCCATCATCCAGATGAGTGAATTCTTCCAGCCAGAACTCAGGTGATCTTAGTGTCCCACCTGCTGAACCCCATTTCTCTCCTTCTCTGTGAGATCTGGAAACGACCGTGTATTTAACAGCCTCCCTTATGCAGGTCACGCTACATACATGCCTTGTCTCATGTCATCCCCACAGCAGCGCTGTGTGGTCGAGATCACTGTGATTCCCACTTAATAGAGGAGGAAACTGAAGCACAGAGTGCTTAAAGAACTAGCCCAAGACCACACAGTTTCTAAGAATAGTAAAGTCAAGGATATAATACAAAATGAATTATTCTCAGCTTCTTGAGCACCTTGTTTCTACCTCACCTGTGGTCGTTTGGCCACAGACTCTCTCCCAGGGCAGGGGCCATGTCCCCTTATTTATGTGACAAAAGTACTCAGGGTTAGAAAATGGAATGAGTTGGAGTGGAATAGAAATGGAATGGAAGGAAAGGGGAGGGAACTGGGTAAAGTAACTGGCTGCTCTGGGATTTCCAGACAATTCCATGAGGCTTCAGGCCGCCTCTTCTGGTCACTGCCATCAGAGACTTATTTGAGAGTGTCAGCAGAAGCAAGTGTCTTTGTTTTGCTTCCTGTCTTAAGGCAAAGGTTGCCGTTGGGGATCAGGAGGCATTCAGTGAATATCTGTGGAGACTGATGAACCACTCAGTAAAAGGACTTATTTTCCTTGTAAGAAGCTGCCTCTGACTTTCTTTCAAGCTCCACAAATGGCCCAGAGTGTCATAAGCACAGACTATTCATGGAATTCTTCCTGAAAAAAATAGAAACTGTGAACTTATTGGAAGGGCAGATAAAATAGAATATGAAACTCTTTTGAAATAGAGCAAAGAATGATAGGATTTCCCAGCTCGAATCAGGTTAGAGCTGCTCAAAAGTTTAATGTCTTTTTAAAAAGTGATAGTAATCGCTAGAACAATAACTCCTATTTACTGAGTACTTGCTGTGTGCTAGGCCATGTACAAGGTTCTTTGACTGTAGCATCCTGGCTAATCCTTACAAAAATCCTGCAAGATGGCCACTTTGATGGTCCCCATTTTCCAGCTAAGGAAACTGAGGTTTAGGGAGGTCATTCAGTTTGTTCAAGGTTGCAGACACAAGTGAAAGAGCTGGTTTTAGAAGCCAGGCTAGTCTAATGACCAACTTTTAATCACTATACTTAAAATTTTTTATTTATTTGTTATTTGGCTGTGTCTGATCTTAGTTGTGGCATATGGGATATTTTGTTGTGGTATACAGGCTCTCTAGTCGTGGTGCCCAGGCTTACACAGTATGTGGGATCTTAGTTCCCTGACCAGGGATCAAACCTGTTTTCCCTGCACTGCAAGATGGATTCTTAACCACTGGACCACCAGGGATGTCCCTAATCACTATACTTTTATCACAATGCATTTTAATTACATTTCAAACAAGACCAAGTGGGAGACAGGCATAGAGTAACTGTTGGGAGGATGTTCTCTGTAGGGTCTTGGATGGCACGGAATACACCCTTATGCTCTTCAGCTTGTATTTCCCAAGAGGGGCTGCTGGCTGAGTGGCCCTACAGAGTGAGCCTTGGAAGTTTGTATTCATTCCTTCCCTTCAATCTCTTTCTTCCTTGGGTCTCTGAGGCACACGCCCAGTCCCCCTACACTGTCCCACCAGGCTCTTGCCCAGCCTGTGGGTCCTTTAGATTTCCAAGCCTGGTGTAAGGCTTGGGGGGGCCTCAGGCTGAGAGAGATACCCCTGTGAGCCAAGGTAAGGCTGCAGATGGAAAGCCTGATCATTAGTGAGGCTCAAGAGAAATGTAACTACAACACTGAACTTGCGTTAAGATTTATTGGTCCATTCCCACCACATTTTACTTCTTTCACTTTCATTCCTGATAACGGCCATCGGTTAGTGATTGTTCCCAGCTGAGACTGGCAGACTCAGTCCACTAATGGCAGAACTGAGAGCAAAGTGGGATTTGCTACTCCGAGCCATCATCCCAGACGCTAAGACAGGGAGATTGTTTCTCAGCGTTTTACACTGCCATTTCTGCTCACCCTTTAATGAATGCTTTCTGTCCATAAATGAAGCAGAGATGGAAAAAGAGGTGAATAAGTGCTCACATAAATTGCAGTGGGTCAACCACAAATACAGGCTTTCCAAAAAAATTGTTTTTTTTTTTTTTTTAAAGTCTACGTTAAGGTGCTTGCTGATTTCTAAAGTACTTCCTGGGTTTGATTAGTGTGGCAGATGCATCAAAAATTGCTATTTCCAACCTTTATTTTGTGATTCGTGCATCAGGGTAGAAGGTCTCTTTTCAAAGAAAAGATAAAGATCAAAGTATAATGCGTGCTTTTCACCGTTATCTGACTCTTACTGACTCACTGGTCACGTGCTAGGTAATGGATATGGAAATTGAAATCAGCAGGCTCTGAAAAGCTATGGTTGACTTTTACTTTTAGCTTCTGGGCACTTAAATTTCTTTTTAGGTGTGATTCATATCTACAGGGGCAAATTGGTAAATGGTGGGAAAAATGCTCATACTGTATTTGTGTGCATAACAACTGCACGGGTTTAGCAGGTTATTTTCTGCGATCCTGAATCCTGTCCTGGGGCTGGGATGATTGCGTGGTCAGGCTGACCATCTATGCCCTGTTACTTTACAGCTTGGCTTTGGATCGTTCCTTGGAATCATCGGATCAAACCTCGTGGAGAACAAACGGCAGATGGTAAGTTTTCATGGCTACACAATCAGACCACCTGTTCATCTGAAAGAGCTCAACATTTCTGTGGATGGGTAGCACACTTACTAAGATTGCCCACATTGGACCATGAAAGAAACAGCTACCTTCCCCTAAGCTTCCGGGAAACTTGTTTTAAAGTGACCCTGTGGTGCGGGACTGGTTCTCATCTTGCCTGATGCTCCCTCAGTTGCCCAGCTCATCTCCTTAAGTCACAAGGATAGAATAATCTGTATCTTCCCCTTTGCTTTTCTCCTCATCAGCAAATGAGTGCACCAGCCTAGCCAGTCAGGCCAGTGTCCTCGCTTGGGATGCCTTTGCTACTCTGATTCCCGCACTCAGGGGCCACCCTTACCCCTTGCTCTCTGATGTATAGCCTGAGATTTCCATCTAAGGGACTTTAATTAACAGAACAAATACATGTAGGGCACAAGAAAACAAAATCAAATTATAAAGCTGGTCTCCAATAGTCCCATGACCCTTGGTTCAAAGCTACCTGTGTGATGAGGTGGAGAGGAAGGATGGGCATATACTGGGAGGTAAAACTCACCAAGTTCTCTGTCTGAATGGGGCCCCTCAAGGGCAAGCTGTTGTGTCTTCTTGCTTCAGCTTGAGAAGACTTCATAGAGGGCAAGAGAAGAAAGTACAGACTGAATTGCAAGCTTATTGCAGTTTTATAGGCTTATAAATCAAGAGGCCTGGTGAGTGGTCAGATGGTAGACTGATTAGGCTCCCCAGTACAAGTCTCCGTGGCATCTAGACTTTGATAATGGAGTCTATTTAACAGCAAGTTTAATCAGATAACATAATAGCTCCGGGGACAGAGAACTCTAACCATATGTTCTCCCCCAGCAATGTGGGGAATCGGCCTCAGGGGAGTTCTAATAGTCTTCTTCCATTTCACCTGGGCTCTCCTGCAGCCAGTTGTGTTTGCACTTTGGGTTTAAATTATTCAAAATAACAGGGGAGTTCTAATTGTAGAGCTGATCATAGCATAGCTAATAATGCCAATTTCATGACATCGTTCATCCATTATTTACCAATCCTCTGTACTGCTGTGAAGTGAGATTTATGGGACAAGGTTTCTGAACAACTCCCAAAGGAGATCTGTATTTCCTCGTAGCCTGTTGAGATGGGAGAACCTTAGGGTGGTCTTGACTTTTCTTTCCCCTCTAATCCCTGGAGAGCAGCCTAATGTCATCCTGTTTCTCCCCTTCCCCCCCAAAAAGCACCTCAAGGAGTGTTGTTTTGAGGGTCAACAAGGGCAGATGGGGGCTTCGCTGGTGGCTCAGATAGTAAAGAATCTGCCTGCAATGCAGCAGACCTGGGTTCGATCCCTGGGTCAGGAAGATCCTCTGGAGGAGGGCATGGCTACCCAATCAGTATTCTTGCCTGGAGAATCCCATGGAGAGAGGAGCCTGGCAGGTTCCAGTTCTTGGGGTCACAAAGACTGGGACACGGCTGAGCAACTAACACTTTCACAAGGGTAGATGGTGGGCTCAGGCAGTACCTACTCCCAACCCTGGAAACACCTGGAAATGCCTACCTCCTCATTGGATTGTAGTATTACCCTTGTAATGGGAAACCCATTATTAGGAAAACTTCTGTTACCTAACACGGTCAGAGAATAGGGCAGTCTAGTTCCAGCAAACAATTTTTGTACTTGAATTTTTTCATATAGACCGCACAGAATCGATCAATTTCAGAGACTTCAACCCTTGTAAAATGTCTTTGACATGTAAGCCATAAGTTGTGTGGTCTCCTTCCTCTGTGATGCAGGGCCATGTCGGGTTGTCTGGGGCTTCAGAGTCATCCCTTCTTCACCCCACCCCCACACCATGAGGGGTTGGGAAGATCATTGCACTAGGAGTTGGCGGGCACAGGCTCTCCCATAGCCTGGCCAGCGACCTGGGACACACCATTTCCCCTCTCTGAACCTCCAACTCCACAGTAAATAAAATAGGAGTTGGACTACATGATGTCGAAGGTCCAACACTTTTCTGAGTCTGAGAGTGGAAGAGCCATGCAGCCTGATTCCTCAGCCTCCTCTTCCTTGGGTCCTCACTGACTCACGGAGTGAGTTTCTTAGCTTGCCCTGAAAATGTAGGACATGCTCCAGTGGCCCCTTCTCTGCGTCTCCCTCCCACTCAGGGCCTCTCCATGGGGTGGCAGGCCAGCGTTCGGCTTTGCCTGGCGGTCTCTTGGGGATCGCCTCGTCCCCAGAAGCAGTAAGAGTGGAAGGCTAACAGACACTTTTGCTTTGTCCCCCCACAGCTGGTGGCTTCTATCGTCTTTATCAGCTTTGGTGTGATTGCGGCCTTTTGCTGTGCCATAGTTGATGGGGTCTTTGCTGCCAGACATATTGTGAGTATTTTTAGTCTGGGGTTAAAGTCAGTGTGCAATACAAGGAGGCTTCATCGAGCGGGTGTGCTCTGGGTGTGTGCTGAGGGCTGTGAGGGGTACGGAAGAAGTAGAAGACAGGATCCCTGCCCCATGGAGGTGACATCAACATGAGGACCTCCTGGAATGCACTACAGAACTGGGGCTGAGCTGGGGGGGGGGTGAACTCTAGGTGCCAGAGTGGTTTACCTTGGGTCAGGCCAGGCTTCCCAGTGGGGAAGGGGCTGGAGGTTGTTGAGATTTGGAAAAGTCAAAGACAAGGGCATTGGGGCCAGGGAATTGGCATTGGGAGTGAGGAGGCAGGCAGAGAGCCCTGGTAGCTGAGCTCCCCTCGCCATCTCCAGCAGCGACAAGAATGGCCCGTGAGGATAGATACGTTGTTTTCTACATGTGGAATCTAGTTCCCTGACCTGGGCTGGAATCCGTGTACCCCTGCATTGGGAACACAGAGTCTTAATCCCTAGACCTCCAGGGAAGTCCCCCAGACACCATTTCTAGGATTGTTGAACTTTGCTGTCTTCATAATTGGAGAGGAGTGATGTGATTGGGGTCTGGAGAAAGCTCCCAGAACTAAAAGTCTCCAGAACAATCCCAGTCCTGGCATTCAGACGCCAAGTGCTTCCAATTCTGGAGAAGCTAGGCCTTGAGGAAGGCCTGAAACCCAAATCTGTGCTTCTTTTCAGAGAAACCTGGGATTCGGGTCCTTCCTGTGGGCCCCTCTAGAGGAACCCTCACCCCTCACTTTGTGCTTTCTTAATCTGGCCTAGGGCCATCTTCTCCATTGGGCTCAATAGACACAGTGCCCACAACCATGAACTTTTATAGGGTCCCAGAAAAATATAATTTATTTTCAAATCAGAGGAAAAATGATGACCTTTTAGGCCAAAAAAAAAAAAAAGTTTTCACATGTAATAGAAATTTGTCTTTATACCAACACAGTCATAACATATAATTAAAATAAATGAAACATCCTATTCAATATTTTGAGTGGAGGAAGGAGTCCGAAAAAGGCAAAAGTCCCAGGGAGGTCATAGCGTGGCCCTGATCTGGCCCACAAACCCCAAGCAAGAGTGAGCTAAGCTGCTTACTGAGCCCCCACAACCCACTCAGACACTTATTTTTATCCCCAACTGAACCAACAATGAAAATGAAAACATAAAGCAATTAAAAATCCATAAATAAAAAAGAAAATGAAAACATCCTATGAACTAGTTGGAATTGTATGTTTTCTAAACCAAGTGAATTGGAGCAAAATTGAATCATAGAATATTCTGTGGATCAATGATATTTTATTCCATTTCAGTCTTTGGCTAACAGCGCTGGTTAGCCTGAGGGAGAGTCCTGGGTATGGACTATCTGGGCAAGGGTGATTTGCAACACTGTTTCAATCCCAACTTGTTCTAGGACTCTACTCCCATACTTAAGAGTCAGTCCCTCACATGCTAAGCTTAGTGGAATTCATAGTCAGTGTTGGCCTATAAGGAGATCATTTCTGGGAAGGGGGAAAAGTATGTGGTGGGAGAGAGAGGTTTTTTGCCCAGTTCTCTTTTTGGACCAAGAATACATCAGTTCCTATATCAGATCCATCCCTTATTATTTTAGCTGAGAGCAGCCATCTTTTTCTTTTCGAATAGGCAATGACACAACAGGAACTTGTGACATCCACTCTCCTACCACCCTAAACACCTTAAAATAGCGATTCTACCTCATAGGCGATTTTCACATATTACCCTCTGAGTATATATACCTGTTTTTGTAGCATGTTTGCAGTCAGTCATAGTATTGTGTGCTATTTTGTTTCAATAGGCGCCATCTTAATGACAATAATTCTGTGTTTTTGTGTGGTGGATTTAGCATTTCAATGTGCCTTGACATCTATTATCTCATTTGAGAGCCACAACCATCCTGTGAGGTATGTAGGGCAGACATTATTATCCCCATTTGACAGCACTCTTCACTCCGAGGCAGTCTCCATGGCAACACAGGCCTAGTGGCCAAGAAGCCTGCGGTAGATTTTCATGGCATCATGAGCTGAAATGGCTTCCTCCTTTTCCCTCCTCTTCTCACTTCTAATTTTTTTTTAAACAGCTTTATTGGGACATAGTTCACATCTCATTTAATTTACCCATCTGAAGCATATAATTCAGTAGCTTTTAGTACATTCATGGATATGTGCAAACTATCACCGAATCAATTTTAGAAGGTTTTCATCATCCCCCAAACAACCCTATACCCTTTAGTTATCACCTCTCTAATCTGCCTGCTCCCCCAAATCCTAGGCAACCACTAATCTACTCTCTTTTTCTATAGATTTCCCTTTATTAGTTAACATTTCATATTAATGGCATTATATAATATGTGGTTTTCTGTGACATCTTTTACTTAGTATAGTGTTTTCTACATTCATCCATATTGTACCATATGTCAGTGCTTCCTTTCTTTTTATGGCCTAATAATATTCCATTGTATGGATATACCACATTTTGGTTGTTCATTCACCAGTTGACAGACATACAGGTTGTTTCTACATTTTGGCTTTTATGAATAATGCTGTTATAAACATTTGTGTACCAGTTTCTATGTGGACCTATGTTTTCATTTTCTTTGTGTATATACCTATGATTTGAAGTTTTGGGTCATATGGTAACTATATTTAACCTTTTGAAGAACTGCCAATTTTCCAAAGTGGCTGCATCATTTTACAGTTGCACTGGAAGTGTCCGAGTGTGCCAATCTCCTATTGTTAGCTGACTTTTTAATTCTAACCATCCTAGCAGGTATGAAATGGTTTCTCATTGTGGTTTTGATTTGCATTTCCCTGACTCCTAAACTCCAAAAGGTTTTGATTGGTGGCCTTAGCCAAAAGGCAATGGGAGAAAAATCCAAGTTATATTTACTGGAAGTTTCTTCCAGCCTCTGACTCTAGGTCATTTGTACCTCCTGCTGGTAGTGGCCTGCAGTAGAGCATTTGATTAAAGGTTTGGGGTAAAGCTAGATGAGTCTTTGAGAAAACCTTTTTGCCTACACTGTACCTGTCCTGAGACATCTACCAGTCCTCACTGACACCCAGTTCTGTTTTTTTTTTTAACTTCCATATGTGACATGACCCTGTGAAATTCTGAGGAAGGAGGATTTATTAATCAATGGTGATATCTGTTGGCCAGCTTAAATGAAAGGCACATTTGGACCCCAGCACTGTTTGGGTGGGTTAGAACTGGCCTTTCCTGTTGTGGAGCCCCTTTAACCTGATTGTGCCCTGTCTTTCTGTTTATTTTTTGGCTGCATCCCATGGCATGTGGGAATCCAGTTCCCTGACCAGGGATTGAACATGTGGCCCCTGCAAGTCTTAACTACTGGGCCACCAGGGAAGTCCCACGGTGCCCTGTCCTTTGGCTCAGGGGCATATGAGCTTCACCTACCTTCTGACACAGCCCTCTGAATGTGTCTCATTCCTTCTCTCCCTTGTCTCCAATTTCCTTCCGTTCCCCTACCTGAAGATAGCCATTAACTAGCTGGGAAAGTCACATCACCTTCTTGTGCCAGTTTCTTCTCTTCTACCTGGATGTAATAGGAACTTAGTTACCTCTCAGGGGTAACATGAGGACAGTACAAAATCATGGGCGTGAAGGCCTGAGAGGGCCTGGCCCTGAGCACTCAGACTCTCAGTGGAAGGCAGCTGGTGGCCAGCGCTCCAACCGGCCATTGCTCGCCCTTCAGACGTAAATAAAAGGCTGTCGGCGGGCTCAGCGGCCTTTTCTTACCTGCTAGTCACGTGGGCTTGTTCCTCCCCTGGGGCCTCAGTGCAGAAGGGCATCCACAGGCAGCACATGGGCCACCATCACACACACACACACACACACACACACACACACGTCGATCTTCGTTTAAGCAGTTGGCAGCTGAATGCTCTTTGTAGAACCAGGAGGTCAGGAGGTTACGACCAGCACATCGAGCCTCCCCCGCCGCCACAACCGCGGAATGATAACTACTTCTACCATTGCCCAAATGGGGACAATAAACCCTGCCAGTCGTGACCATGAGAACCGTCATGCCTTTCCAGCGTGACCCCAGGCTGAGCCCCAGGGCAGGACACTTTGAGAACACAGAGCAGCTAGGTAGAAGCAACTGGACGGGGCAGCAGGCAGGAAGGCAGGGGGCACATGGGTGTCAGGTACAGGAGATGCTCAATCACACGTGTGGGGGAAAGCAGCCATCAGGATGATTGGCAGTGGTGAGAGAAGTGGGTTCAGTGGGGATGGGGCAATAGATAAACTCCCTCTGCCGGGGTGCTTTGGCCCACCTCCAAAGGTCAGTTTGTATAAACTGCTGATCCTGTGCTAACCTGCTCTTGGCTGAAGGCCCCTCCCACTCAGGGGATGTTTAATGTCCTGTGAAAGTTGGGCAGCATCCCCTGCCTGCCACCTTCTGGGCCGCACTGGGTGGCATCTGTCTGTCCCACCCCAATGCACACCACCCTCCTCCCCCCACCCCCGTGTCTGAGAGCTCCCTCACAGGAAGCTGGCCAAACCAGCAGGGCTAGTCAACTTTTCCTGGGCTTTAGCAGTATTTTAGAGTTCACTGTCTTTTTCTAATCTGTGTAGTTGAGTGAAAATGGCTCATAGTTCAGTTGAGTTAAAACCTAGTATGGGCTCCGTGGCTGCGCATCTCCCTGGGATTTGCTTCCTGAGCTCTTCTTTCTGAAAAAGCTATGGCAATGACAACAGGGAGGATGCGTCAGCCCGCCCTGGTCCTGTCCTCAGGTGATAATGAGACCTCATTGTTGGAGCTGGCCTCCCTCCATCGCCGAGTGTCATGTCGCGATCACCTGGAGTTTTGACTCCTGTTCCCTGGAGATTCTTTGCAAAGAGACAGACTAGAAATAAAAGAAAACCAGAACGGAAATTTTAAGAAACGCATTTCTCAATCAATTTCCTAATTTCTCATTAACTAAGTGGCCCAATAGAAAGTAGTTATTAGAACATTTTTATCTGATCCTCACAGAAATTAACCCAACACTACCTACTCTGGGATGTGTGTGTGTTAAAATCTTTTCTTACCCATCAGAGCACTTGCTGCTTTGTTTTCCAAAGCCCAAAGCTTTTTGGTTTGCTGTTTCCCTTTCCAGGATCTGAAGCCCCTCTATGCTAACCGGTGCCACTATGTCCCAAAGACATCTCAGAAGGAAGCTGAGGAGGTAAGAGCCAGAATGGGGTTACCTTACCTTTGGGAAAAGCCTCCTGTTCTGCCTAGAACCCTTTTTCTTTGACTCTCTTCCTGAGGCCTGCAGCTTGCTGTGAGGTGTCTTTAGTTGGTTTGTTCAGTGGTTCAGTTCAAGGCAAGGTGCTAATGGGGCCACAGTCATAGGTTAGCGCTGCTGAGGCCTAAATCAGATTTGCTTTGTTCTGTGGTCACAGGCTGCCCCTCTGACCCCAGCAGGCAGCCTCTCTGTGTGTGGCTTTGATCCTGAGAGGGACAGAGGAGAGTACAGAGGCCACAGGGCAGGTCCTTCCCCACGTCTGCATCTGCGGAGGATGGGTCAGCTGCCTGGACTTGATGTCTAGCTGGCAGTAAAGTGGGAGGCCCACCAAGTCAGCAGGCTGGACCCAGGAGACAGAGCCTGAGTCTCATATGCAGGAGGGGTCAGGAGCCAAATGAATGTTATTGAGAAGCCTGCTTCAGTTTGAGGCTCTGGGGCAGCTGTCGGCCTGGCCCTGACTCCCCTGGTCTCATGACATCCCCAGGAGGCCGGTCTGATGATGCTTGAGTGGACACGTGAGGTGGTGTCTCTCCCACCCCAACACAGCTCTCCTTGGGTCCCTGTCACCTCATGGAGAAGCTGAGGCAGTGGGCGGTGAGGTGAGGTGAGACTTCAGGTCATTCTCGGAGAGCTTTCATTTCAGCTCACAACCACCCCTCCCCAACCCAGAGAGCCCTTTAACATGGACTTCTACTGTATGCTTCTAGCAACATCGACCATTTGGTTCTCTGCTACTGCTGCTAAGTCACTTTAGTCGTATCTGACTGTGTGCGACCCCATAGACGGCAGCCCACCAGGCTCCCCCATCCCTGGGATTCTCCAGGCAAGAACGCTGGAGTGGGTTGCCATTTCCTTCTCCAATGCATGAAAGTGAAAAGTGAAAGTGAAGTCGCTCAGTCGTGTCCGACTCTTGGCGACCTCATGGACTGCAGCCTACCAGGCTCCTCCATCCATGGGATTTTCCAGGCAAGAGTACTGGAGTGGGGTGCCATTGCCTTCTCCATTTGGTTCTCCCCACCCTGAGAATAGTTAGAAAAATGGTAAACTTGTGATTGTTGGAAAAGGGTAAGAAGTGGATGTAAAATGGTGACTGCATTCCATAAAATGGAATGGCATCAGGCGAAGCCATTCTCCCTAAAATCCAGTGTGAATGGTGCCTGGGGAGGCTGGCAAAGCTATGGCCCTGCTCCCAAGGCGTTAGGGCAAGTACTCACATGGTGACTTTGCCACCCACTTTCCCCACTTTCCTTCCCCGATCAGCAATTCACTATTTTTCCTGACTATTCTCGGGTTAGAAAGAAGTAGAAAGATGTACGTGCTGACAGTGTATCAGAAAGGCTTGAGCTTTTGGATGAAGGACCCAATATAGAAAAAGTGCCTGTTTACCACCCATATTCTCTGTAACACAGCAAAACACATTTACAAGCACTTCGTTGCACCTGTATTGGGGTGGGGGAAGCCTGGAAGATTTCTCACAAACAAGAGATGGTAAATGGAAGTTAATTTTTCCTTTTTTTTTGTGGGCAAACTCAAGATGTATAAAATGTCATTGTTATTCTCTTGATTTCATCATGATCGCATTCTTGTGTTACCTTGGTGACTGTAAAAATATGAATGATGACTTCCATAGGTTCACTTGTAACCCTGGTCCCCCTAACCCTATTTTTCCTGTATAAGGTCATAAGTTCCTCAACCAAAAATTCTCCTTCCGCGAGGGTTATGAGGAACCTTACGCAGGCAGCTCGAGAGGTACCAGTGTACTTCAGAGTGCATGTGACTGCCCTTCTGTCTTCCTTCCCCAATGTGGTCCTCTTTCCTCCTGTACCCCGATTCCCCGTCGTAGCCTCATTTCCTACCGTCCATTTGTTCTTCTGTCCGCCCTTCCATCCGTCCTTCCTCCTCTTCATCTCCACCCTCCAGGGATGGGGCGCTGAGGGCTGTGGCTGAGGCTGGATGTGAGCCCAGCTCCACAGTGACTTGCCTCATGCACGAGATCAGCCAGCCCAGCCCCATCCCGGCTGTGCTTTGGTGTATTCATTTCACAGCCATCCTTACCGTCTCCATCAGTTCACTAGCTCGCACTGCCAATCCCAGAGGGTCCTGCTCCCATCCAGCGCCAGCTCACCTGCTCACTGCTGTGTGTCCGCAGGTGAACTGCCCTCACCTCAGCCGTGGATTCTGCACACCTCGCATCCGGGGCAACACCTGCTTCTGCTGTGACCTCTACAACTGCGGCAAGTGAGTGCCAAGCCCCTGATGGTGTGACCACCATGGGTATGAGAAGGACTAGATGGGGGAAGGGTGCACGGTAGGGATCAGAGAAGCAGAAGACATTGGTGTGTCCATGGATTTCAGCTGACAGGCGTTACCTGCCATCTCTGTGCCAGGCAGCATGCTAAGTAAGTGCTTTCAAAGTGCTGATCTCATTTCATTCTTACCCATGATTTATGTACAATTATTCTTCACATTTTACAGATGATAAGACTGAGGCTCAGAGGAAACAGACAACTAGTCCAAGGTCACACAGAATTTGAGGTAGAGGGTAGAAGGAGGGTTCACACCCAGTTCTAAATCCAAGTTCAACAACATTCAACAAAGTTATTGAGCATTTTCTCTGTGCCTGGCCTTGTTCCAGATGTTGGAGATTCAGCAGCAGCAGCAAAAAAAAAAAAAAAAAAAAATTCCTTGCCCTGATGGAACTTAGAGTTTATTAGGGAAGATAGTCAATGAACACATGAATATGTAACATGCCAGGTGTCAATCAGAGCCCTGAAAAAAAATGAAGCAGGAAAGGTAGGTAGATAGTTTCAAAGTGGAGAGTGTGAGTGCCATGTTGGATAAAAGGGGCCAGGGAAGAGCTCTTTGAGGAGGTGAAATTTGTGAAGAGATCTGAATGATGCCAGAGGGCCAACCAAGTAGATACTTGAGGAAAAGGGTATCCCAAACAAACAGAACAGCAAGTGCAAAGGCCCTGAGGCAGGATCAGGCTTGGTGGTGCTAGTTCTGCTACAGCCACTCTGGCGCTCTGCCGTTCAATGTTAAAACATCATTTATTCTCTTTCAAAACACATTTAGATGCCAGAAATACAGAGTCCTGCTGAGGAGCTTGTAGGCCAGCAGGGATGACAGACTTGTGAGCCATTGATTACAGTCTAGTGAGAAGTGTAGTGGGGATCTGGGGAGGTACTGGGGAACCTCTCAACGCAAATGACTGGAAGCCAGAGTTGCTGGTGGGTGGGGGGAGGAGGCGTGTCAAGGAGTAGGGGATGTGGGAGCTGAGGCTTCAAGGATAAGGCAGGAGTTAGGAGCAAATTTAAATTAGGGGTGGAGATGGGGAGGGTCTTCCCAGCATTTGTGGGGGTGGGGATGGTTTTACAAGGTAGTAGGAGGTGAGGAGTAGAACTCTAGTCACACAGCAGAGCATAGGAATGCTTTTGGACTTGACCCTGTAACAACTGGGAGCCACTGAAGGATACAGCATGGTAGATGGATTTGAGTGGCTAGAGACCGGAGGCAGCGAGGGAGCCATTGCCAGAGTCCAGGCCAAAGGGAATGGAGCCTAGATGAAGTTGTGGGGATGGTGGAAAGCGGGGAGTACTTGTAAGAGGAATTTAGAAGGTGGAGTAGACAGGAGTGTGTGAATGCGTGATGCAGAACATAAGTAAATGGCCCTGCATGTCATACACGTGTTTTCTTCCAGCTCTCAGTTCAAGGGGGCTGAGGAGGGGAAGGGAGGAAGGGAGGAGTTGGCAGAAGGGGCCTGGATGGAGCTAGATCCAGAGGGGTCAGATGGATGCACTCCTCCTCACTCACACTCCTTACTCTTGGTATTGGGGGACCAGTTTATTCACTTTGAGGATTAAGACCTGACAGACCAGAGGCAGGGGAGGGGGAAGGGGGAGCAGGAGGAGAAGAGGGATTCACCCCAGCCTGTTTACTTTCTCTGCTATCACTGGTCTCATTTTGTTAAAAGATTTGGCAGTGGAGGAAGAGAAACTGAAAGACTCAAATGAGGTTTGGGGATTATCTGGGAGGTTCAATTATTCATGTTGTAATAATAACTAACACTTGAAAAGGACTTCCCTCCTTAGCGGTGATGGAGAGCTGGCTATAATTGTACTTCCTGAGCCCATCCTTCCAAAAATGATCAAAGAAATGTAAAATAAGTCCTAGGGGATTTGGGGTTATTTTACTATCTTTCCTCTTGCCTCCCCTTATCTGCCTCCCTCCCCCTGCTCAGTCCACCCCTCTGTTTTTACCTCCTCCCTCCTTTGGACAACCTGTCCTCTGGCCAGGTCTCTTCTACCCTCTCCTTTTCCCTTCCCAGGCCTCCTGAGATCCCAGGAGGTGAGAAGAGGCCTGCTGGGAGGGCTGACAAGTGATTCCTCGCAGGCACACCTTTCTCTCTGCAATTAGGTGTGTTTGTGAAAAAGGTCTGAATAAACTAAATCCTACTTTAATTTCCATTTAGCTGAGCCCTTAGGTGAACTTTTTTAAAATGGAGACTCAAGCCCAATTTATCTTCCTGTCAATCTGAACTTCATAATAAGTGACTTTCTTAAAGCAAGTTATGCCAGGGTTGTCTCCAAGGCCCTAAAGAAATTTTATGAGGAGCTCTGCTAAAACTCTGGACTCCCTAAAGACAGCAAACATGACTTCATCTTATCTGTATCCTCAGGCTCCAGCACAGGACCGGGCTCGATTAAAAAACCTGATGACAAGGGAGTGACATGTATTGGAAAGGATCAAAAAGAGGAACACCCTTTTCTCCAGGAATATAAAGTATTGGACCAGGCGACTAACAGGGCTACGGGTGGAGAGTGGGGGTGTGGGGTGTGGGTACTGCTCCTAAAGACCTTTGAGCTGGAAACACTGCTCACCCACCTGATGTCTGGAGACCAGCTTCAGGCGGTCATTGAGTCCTTGCCCAGGTCGGTAACGTTGAGATTCCAAGGGCAAAGCCACCAGAAAAGCACTTCCTGAGCTTTTCATCAGGAAACCGTCCCATGCGATCAGAAACCAAGGCTGTGAGACCTCAGAGGCAATGATCCTACAATAGAAGGAAAAGATTTTCCCTGACCTGAGGCTTTTTCCAGCCAGCTCGAAGGAGACCTAACCTCCAAGCCTAAATATAGCTAGCTGCAAGCCTTCTAAGGCTCGGAGACTTTAATTTTGCCGAATGCATATTTGTTTTCCTCACACAAAGCCTATTTTTAATCAATTGCCAGCTCCTCCAGTCCATTTCCTGGAAAGGAGGCCAAGAAAAAAAAAGTGGGAACAAAAGCATCAGGCAGTCATTTGTAGGGCGCTACGGAAACAGAGTTTCTACTGTCCCCTCGAAGCCACAGACCTTCTTTGACGTCAGGGGCAGTGAGGTTTTAACACCAAACCTAGATGATTCCGTTTCAGCCTGTGCAGGAAGGTGGTTTCTTTAGGATACAGCTCTTCAGCGGCTGCCTTCTAGCCTTCCCTTGGCTTTGGAGAGGTCAAGTCAATATCACTGGTTTTTGTTGTTTAACCTACAGGAAGCGAAAGGAAATGGGGGTGGTTTGTGAACTGCTGCCACTGGTAATAAAATGAAAGATGATAGCTCGCTTTCATCCGCTCCTCCCTTTGGCGAACTTTTTCTTGAGCTCCTACTATGTGCCAGGGACTGTTCTAGAAGAACACATATTGATAAGATAACATTTTGCCCTTAAGGAACTGAGTTTACCAGGGGGATCATTGGGAGGTGGAGAAATGTGCCCAGAGGAGGTGCAGAGCCTCTCTCTGTCCATGGGGAGTTGGTGAATAGTTCCAGGCCCTTATGGAAGAGCAGAAGAATGCCCTTCGGCTTTATCCAAGATCCGGTGCCTCCTAATTTGTTGAGTGGGGACTGAAACGAAGAGAGGTTATCTGTTTCTCCAGATATACTCAGCAAGTTAAGAGCAAGTGGGTGAAAGCCCAGATTGGGTAATCAGTCTTACAATCTGTCTTTGAACTCAATTACTCATTCCCCAAGTATCTGTTGATGACCCACAACAATTCTCTCACTGAGCTCGGAGGCAGTGAGGGAGATACAACAGAAGTGTAAGAGATAACCTTGCCCTCCAGAGGTTAGAATTTAGATGATGCTATCATGTCCACCTTGGCCTTGTTTGCAGCTTCAGCTCTGATTAGGCTCCAGGTGAACATCGGATCAAATGAATAGCTACATTACTGATATATGCAAAGTGCCGAACTAAGAAGAACAGACTGAGGTTGTGGGAGCCCAGGGAGAAAGGTGATGAATGGGCACTGGAATCCTTGAAGAATGAGATGAGTGTGTGGAAGCTCTGAGCAGTGGGAGAGATCAGGAGAGGCTGAGAACAGAAGGCAGTACCTCCCATGCAGGGGGAGAAATCTGAACAAAGGTCTGGAATAACTACCCCACCTGGCTAGTTTGGTGCTTCTGAGGACAAGCCTGACTGAAGTGTGGATTCCATTTTGGAGTCAGATCATGGCAGATTGAGGAATTGGGGCACATTTTCCTGAAGGTAATGGAGAGCTGTGGAAGGGTTTTGATTAGCTGAATGACTTAGTTTTTTAAATGTGTTAGGAAGCTGAAGCAGGCTGTGGTGGGCTCTGGCAGGAGACTTGGCAGTCATGAAGGTTTGAGGGTGGGAGCTGTGAGAATACAAAAGATGGGATTTCAGAGAAAGTTCTGCCCGGAGACTGAACCAAACGGAATCATGAATCTCAAACAGAAACAAACCACATTAATTTGCTAAACCCTTAACCAGATCTAGTATTAATGTTCTTTTGCTTCATGGCTCTGTAAAAATAACATGGTAGCTGCTGAACCCGCTCAAACTGAAACCAAGCATATATTCTCTACAATTATTGAATATTTTTCAACAAACTACTAACCAAGCCTCATGTTGTGGTCTGTGTCCTTAAAGCATCACTACCTTTAAGAACACAATTCAGGGGTTTGAATCATTTTGCCAGAGGCTGGCTCTTAGAAGGGAAAAAAAAAAAAAACAGCTACGTGTTCAGGTGGTAGAGTACTTCTAGAGTACTTACATTGTGCTGGAATACTACTTTTGTGCATTGACTTGTGAAATCCCCCAGGCTCAGAGAGGTTAAGAAAGTTGCTCNAAGTATATACTGTTGGGTATATAAGTATATACTCCCAGGTATACACTCCTGGGTATAAAAAAAAAAAAAAAAAGAAAGAAAGAAAGAAAGAAAGTTGCTCAAGGTCAGACGGCAAATAAGTGACAGAGCCAGGGTTCAAGTGCAGTCTGATTCCAGAGTCTGCTCAGCTGTACTGCCCGTCTATATATCTACAGGTGTTACCAGCCTGCCCTTGGTGTATTAGGACATAAGCACTTCACTACTTTCAAAGATAACTTGGGAGAAGTCAGAAGCTGATTCTCAAACCTCCCCTGCACCCCTCCAACCCTACATTCACCATTACACACAGGGCTGCCCTTTACAGGGGAGCATCCCTGTAGAGCGGTGCCTTTTTGAGCAGTCAGTCATCTGTGTATCTTCCTTGTCCCATCCCCAGGCCTGAGTACTGTGCCCACTAATAGGAGGCTCTCGGTGTATGCTTCCAGGCGGTGCCCAGCTATGTTTAAAAATCCTGAAATCCAGTTCAAATTCTGATGAATTGAAACGCTGTTAAAATTCCACTGTGGAAGCTTACTATTTAACACAGTGGGTCTCAAAGATCAATGAACTCAGTTAACACAAATCCCAGAACCTAACCCCCCATGGCCTCAGAGTCTGCATGTTTAACCATTTCTTTCTCAAAGATGCATGCACACACACAGAGACACACAGAGACACCCACGGATAACACACCGACACACACAGGCTGGCACACAGACATACAAACACAGATGATTTTGACACAGACTGTCCCATAATCACACTGGTTTCAATTCTTTACAGATACACTGGTTTTAAAGAATTCTAAGATAATTCATCTGTGAAGTTTAAAAGTCTTGTGTGAATAATCTCTCCCTGATTCATTTTGGAGGTTAAACTTTAGTTGCTTTTTTTTTTTTTTTTCCATTTTTTGGTGTTCTTATAGCAGGAGAGTCGCATGCAACAACCATCCTGATGCCAGGCTATTTGGTTGTAAGTTTAAAAATCACCGTGTTTGAGATTCATGATTGATTCCAGTGGCCAAGTTGTAAAATAATTTGCAACGGCCAGGAAGACAGGAACTTTTGTTTAATTAATTTAACAGGTAACATCTTTCCTCAGTGTGTTTAAATGTGTGGAGAGATTTCTCTTCCTCTTTTTGTAAAAGCCTCCAATCCCATCGGATTAGGGCCCCACTCTTAGACTTTAAGGGCTTCCCAGGTGGCACTAGTAGTAAAGAACCCACTTGCCAATGCAGGAAATGCAAGAGACTCAGATTTGATCCCTGGGTCAGGAAAATCTCCTAGAGAAGGGAATGGCAACCCACTCCAATATTCTTGCCTGGAGAATTCCATGGACAGAGGAACCTGGCGGGCTGCAGTTCATGGGGTTGCAAAGAGTCAGACACAACTGAGCACTTAACAGTATCCTATACCTTAGACCTTATGATCTAATCTTAATTTATTATCTCCTAAAAAGCCCTTCTCCAAATACAGTCACTTTGGGAATTAGGGTTTCAATATATGAGTTTCAGAGGGGGACACAATTCAGTTCATAGCAAGTAGTGGGCTAGAGAATGACAGAGCTGGATGGGGGATCATCTTTGGACAGAGTGGTCAGGGAAGGTCTCTGTGAGGAAGCGCTATTCAGAGTTTGTGCAGGAACTCAGCTTTAGTACTTTATTGGGACGTTGTTTGTTGGCATTTCGTTTTGTTTTGAGAAAGGAAATACCGAAATCATTGAAGCCTGAATTCAGATCCCAGCTCTACCGCTTACAATTTGAGGAAGTTCCTAATGTCTCTGTGCTTCAGTTTCTTCATCTGTAAAATGGGAATGGGGGCTAATACTTACGCCATAAATATTGTAAGGATTCACAGTGCTGCCTAATAGAACTTTCTGTGATGATAGAAATGCTCTGTCCAGTATAGTAACCAGCCACTAGCATGACCCTTAAAAGTGTGGCTGCTGAGCATTTAACGTGTGCCTAGTGAGAACGGAAGAACTGAATTTTTAACTTAATTTTAATAGACGCCTGTTGACTAGGAGCTGCCATAGTAGCACAGATGTGATGTGTCCACATCTTAGCCCCGTGCCTGCACACAGCAGGTATTAATAATTGCCATCTAGGATTAACATTAGCGATGGTAACAAGTATTTCTCTAGCAGATAGGAGGGGTTTTGGGGATGGAGATAAACAGCAGTGACACTTTGATTCATTATACTATCTTGATCCCCAAGTGCATTCTTGGCTTCCATGTCCGTTATGATAGTGTCCCACGTGACCCCCTGTCTTTTCACTGGGCTGCATGGTAGCCAAAGCCCTGGGGGACAGCCTGCTCCTTGGCGACTGACTGGGTGCCCTTCTCCCCTTCCAGCCGGGTAGAGATCACCGGTGGCTACTACGAGTACATCGACGTCAGCAGCTGCCAGGATATCATCCACCTCTACCACCTGCTCTGGTCTGCCACCATCCTCAACATCGTTGGCCTCTTCCTGGGCATCATCACTGCCGCTGTCCTGGGGGGCTTTAAGGACATGGTAAGGAAGCAAGTAACTTCGAATTTCCACAGAGGCCCCTCTTCCTGTAAAGGGTGGGGCAAGGCTCAGCGGGTGGGGGCTATGGGGACCCACGTTTTGAAGGGAGGAACAGAAACCATTGCTTCAAGAATGTAGCTGCCTTGGGGGGTGGGGAGGGCGGGATTTCCTGGTGCTCCAGTGATTAGGACTCTGTGCTTTCACTGCCCAGGGCATCGGTTCAATCCCTGGTCCAGGAAATGAGGTTCTACAAGCCACATGGCATGTGGCACAGCCAAAGGAAAAAAAATGTAGCTGCCTTCAAACATCTTAAGTCAAAGGAGCCAGGTCATGTCCTCAGCCTGCAAACATGTCTTGTTAACATGAGACATTGCCTGTGTTTTTGATGCACATTCTGGGGACAGGTGGGGTTCATGCTGGTTATGTAAACATAGCCTGTCATTACCCCCACTCAACCCACACACACTTTTAGTAGAAAATCTTTTGGGGTAGTTTTCCCTGTTACAGACTTTGGGAGAGCTGGAAGGAAAGACGTTTTTAGCTACAGGTAAGAAGTATGGCTGTCTCCCCCTCCCCAGGAATTTCCCCCTGCAGTTTCTCCAGAAAGAGTGAAAGTGAAAGCCCAGCCTCAGGCTGAGCTGCTTGTCCATATTCATGTGAGTGTGAATATGCACCTCAGGGCTCAGCACCCAGGAGGTCCTCCATAGTCCTGGGGGCCTTCCCTCTTTTGCTTTTAAAGCTTTTGTTTGCTTATTTAATAAATCTTGATCTCTAATTATAGAGATAATAGCTTTAGAGCTCTGGTTCTCAACCTGGCCTCCTATTAGAATACAATCACCTGAGGTGCTTTAAAAAACCTGCCGGCCTGGGCCACTCACTCTAAATTGAAGCTCAGGCAGCAGTACTTTAAAAAAAGCCCTCCCGGTGATTCCAGTCTGTGGCTACACTGCGTGCATGCTCTGTCACTCAGTTGTGTCTGACTCTCTGTGACCTCATGGACTGTAGCCCGCCAGGCTCCTCTGTCCATGGGGATTCTCCAGGCAGGAATACTGGAGTGGGTTGCCATGCCCTCTTCCAGAGGATCTTCCCAATCCAAGGATGGAAGCCACTTCTGCGCATCTCTTGCATTGCAGACGGAGTCTTTACTGCTGAGTCACCAGGGAAGCCCCATGGTTGAGTAGGGTTGCTTTAAAGGAATGTCCCACCCATGTCTAGGAAATTATTTTGTGCCTAAAAAGGGCCTCCTTTGACCCCAGAAATGACACAGATAACCCCTAGGCCCTTGGCGGTTTCTGTCCCATTTGGGGCGTGGCTGAGGAACTGGAGGCTAAAAGTCAGTTTTTAGTTTGGGCCTGGATCATCAAAAGGATGAGTAATGGAAACTGAAAGTGGAATAGGACCACAGAAGAGAAAAAAAAATGTAGTTTGCGGCAACAACTTCCCAGCAGAACCGGGCTGACTGGTAGTATTGAGTGTTCCTGCTGTTGACCCTATGGCCAGAGAAAGTCTTCCCTGCTCCTATCCAGCCTGTCTGTCTGTCTTTTTCCCCCTCTGTCTCTTACGCATGAGGCTTCCCAGGTGGTTCAGTGGAAAAGAATCCACCTGCCAAGGCAGAAGATGCAAGAAATGCAGATTCAATCCCTGGGCCGGGAAGACCCCCTGGAGGAGGGCACGGCAACCCACTCCAGTATTCTTGCCTGGAGAATCCCCATGGACAGAGGAGCCTGGTGGGCTACAGGTCATGGGGTCGCGAAGAGCAGTTGTGACTGAACAGACATGCACACTCGCATTCGTTATTTCCACACGCCTTCTCCCACTCAGGAGAGCTCAGGCCCTAAGCCTGCTGGAGGCGTGGGGCTGGGGGGGGGGGCAGCTTGGAGGGAGAAGGCTGTCCTCTCAGTTCGAGCCTGAGGGAGCTTTGGCATGAGAAAGCTTCTTCAGAAAAGCTGTTTCT